AACATTCTTGGATCACTAGTAGGCATGTTTAATCTGGTGTTCGGCCCGGTTTCGGTTCGTTTTTTTTTTTGTTTTCGGTTATTCGGTTTATAAAGATTAGTTACCATATTGGAACCATATTTAATTTGGTTTGGTTTGGTATTTATACTATCGGTTTTCGGTTTATTCGGTTTTATACCAAATAACATTATTATTTGATTTGGTTTCATATTATATGAATTTAAAAAAAAACGTATTGTCAAAAATATCATTTATTAAAATAATCCTAGGTGTTCATAAATATAAAAATTTGAAATTAACAACAAACAAAACGACCAACGATTCAGTTTGGTACAACTTTTCTTATTTTCTCTTTGTTCTTCCAAATAAATTACATGGTACAGTCTAATTTCACAATTTCTTACAACAAGCAAAATTAAATCAAATTTAGATAATAGTTGAAGAAAATAAAATAAAATTATTAAGATATATCTTCATAAAGAATAAAAAGATAAAAAAAAAGACTATTCCAAGAAAATAAATGGTTATATAATGTATATATTTATATATTTTTTCTTTGATCTGTTTTGTTCGGTTTAATCGGTTTAATCGGTTATAAACCTAACCATATCCAAATCCTACAGTTTTATAAAATCATATCCATTAGGTTTATATGGTATATACCAAATCCAAACAATATTATCTATTTCAGTTCGGTATGGTTCAGAATTACCATATTGAACAGCCCTAAATTCACTAGTAAAAAATGATCAAATACCCATGTTCACTTTTCGTTGCTATGAGAGTTATTTCGTAGCTATATAAAGAATTTCACACGAAGAGCTACGAAAACGAAATCGTATGTATATGAGCGTAGCAAAATCGTTTCTAGATGTTACGGTTTTTCCTACGATAGGTAACGTGGCAAAAAAAGGTTTAACTGCGAAATTAAACCGTGTTAAATCGTTGCTTTTTAGAAAAAGTAATTAAAAAATCACAAATATCAAATTTTAATATAAAATAAATAATTCTGTAATTTCTAAAAACAATTTAAATAGCAAAAGTGCTATTTGTATCATATGATATAACATAGAAATCGACATACTATTGTACATATATTTCAAAAAAAAATATGCTATGTTCTCAATTTATAGTAATGTATTAACCCTGACTGTAAGTCTTTCCTGGAAAACCTAAAAACCATAAACACGTAATAGACCCTTCGATTGCATTTAATCGGACATGCAAGCGAAAGAATAGTGAGATTTCTCAACTCAATTTAAATAGTTCACACGAGAACACCAATAAAAAGAGAAATAACTAATGAGTAAAAAAAAAACTTACAGTAGGAGAAAAGGCATGTTACTTGTGTCGTTTTCTCTCACTTGGGACGTCGTTCCATTTAATAGCTATACTCTGGCGATTTTAGATTCGGAGAAAGGTAAGGGACGTTACGGGGAGATCGTTCGAAGGAGTTGTGTCTTCGTCACACAATGCCAAGAATGAAGATGATTTGATCGCGGCGGTTCAAATATGAGAAGAAGACTACAATGGTACAAAGATAAAATAAATATGAGATGTTGTGTGACTTTAGAGGGGTCACGATTTACTTTTCACAATTAATATTATTAATTAAAAAACAATTTTTTTGTTTGAATGTGAGGGTAATATGGTAATGTTATGTATAAAAGAGATTAGGGATGGGTGTTTGGGTATCTGTTCGGGTTCAGGTCGGGTATTTTGGATTTTCGGGTGTTTTGGTATTGGGGTCTAGTCCCCGTTTGAGTATTTTTTATATCGGATCAGGTTCGGATATTTTAAGTTCAGATTTGGTTATTTTGGGTCGGATTTCGGATATTTAAATTTTGAAATAAAAAAATTCAAGTTCTTCATTTCTTAAGTTTTATGTACTTAAAATTTTATTATTAACTTAACTGTTTTTAAATGCTTAATAAGTTAACAACTACTAAGTTTAAAAATAAATTATTGAAAATAGAAAATCATTAATCTGGTTGTTCTTTTCAAATTTTTGATGCAATTTTTGTTAAGCACATGAAATAAAGCTTAACATGCATTTTAAATAAATAGCAAGTCATTTTTTTAAGTTATATGTATATTATCTTATCTTAAGATATATACAACACTAATATATATATTTTGAATAAAATGAGATAAATAAACTAAGAAAGAAATATGTATATATACATAATATTTGGTTATCTTCAGATATCCATTTAGGTTCGGATATTACCCTTTCGGGTTCGGATATCCAAACTCTCCTAACTCAATACCCATTCGGGTATTTTGCTACTTCAGTTTGGATTTCAGTTCGGATATTTCGGTTCGGGTTTGAGTTTGGGTATCGAGTAAAGTGTCCACCCCTAAAAGAGATAGTGTATAGGCGATGTAGGATTTTTGGTCAGTCATTCAATTATAATTTTATTGATAACTATACAATGCAATTTCCATAAATGCTCATATCTCATTATTCAACATAATGAAAATTTTGTGTATGCCCCCATCTACATATCATCTAGATCCGCCCTTGTTTGATAGGCCATATTTTATAACGTAAGTAGAAAATCGTATCTTATATATTAAAATAGAAGTCACAACTTCAATTCATGTGTGATTTATTAACAAATGAACTTTCACTAGAAATCAATTATCCTTCATTTATTACTAATAATATAGTTTAATGATAATATATCACTCATAATATAACCATCGACTCCTACAAAACCGGATTAGTTAACAAATTATCAATTTATCATAATAATTTTTGATATCTTTTCAATTTAAATATCTTATATATTAAAATAGAAGTCACAACTTCAATTCATGTGTGATTTATTAAAAAATGAACTTTCACTAGAAATCAATTATCCTTCATTTATTACTAATAATATAGTTTAATGATAATATATCACTCATAATATAACCATCGACTCCTACAAAACCGGATTAGTTAACAAATTATCAATTTATCATAATAATTTTTGATATCTTTTCATTTTAAATACTAATATTAAATTAAAAAATTTCGAACAAATCTGTTTCAAAAGATGTTGTCAATATATTATTTTTAGTAATTTTCTGTAAATGTTTTCACTAAACTTCGTCATTAGTTTTTTTTATATATAAATATAATTTAAAAATTATCTGGCAATGTTTTCACTAAGTTTCATCATTATATATATATATAAATTCTAACAAATCGGTTGAAAAATAATTTAACAATATCTTAATTTCAAACAATTTTGTAAATAATTCATTAATTTTATTATTAGCAATGAGCTATTATTATGCATTAATATATTCATTTATCGTTTATAAAAAAAAGAAATAATACTATATTCTATTTTACCTATTATACAATCATATTAAATCATATTAAAAATGATATATTGAACTAAATCTGATAAAATATATTAATTTATAAGTTTATATATATTTATTTTCATAAGTAGAAAATAATTTTATTATTAGCAATGAGATATTCTTATATATTACTATATAAAGTTATCGTTTATAAAATAAAAAAAAATATTATATTCTATTTTCTCTATTATATAATCATAATAAATCATATTAAAATTATATATTGAACTAAATCTGATAAATTATATTAAACTATAAATTTAGATATGTTTTTATTTTCATAAGTATAAAATATTTATGTTTGAAAATATAATATGTTGGTAAGATGGGTTAACATTAGCAAACTATATAATACTATATGATAAATATTAAAATAATTTTTAAATATGTTATTTCATGCATATATTAATTACTTTAATAATAAATACAATAAAATTAATATATAATAAAAATGAAAAATATATGTGACGATTTTAAACAATTGATTAATTACAACATGTAAATTATAAAATTATTGTATTTAAAAAAGTAATATAAACATTTAAATATATTATTAACGTTATAAATGTACACCATTAATAATTTAAATTAATATTTATGTATATAAACTTAAAATAAACATACGTGCGGTTGCGTGGATTGGAATCTAGTGACATATTAATATACAAAGAAATCCACATGGCGTATGGACTCCTTTCGAGCTTACATCACATTTGCGAACGAATAAATAAAACATTCCCTTTAGTCCATACACACATATATACAAATCACGTCTAACGTGTAACTTTTTAGTTCTTGTAATGCTATTGTTAAATATTGGCCTATATTGTTGACCAATAATATCTACTATATGCAGATCTACCTACATTCATTAGAAAATCACTTTTTAAAAGTATCAATTTAAAAATAATATTTAAATTAAAAGTTTAAATTTAAATTACAAAGAAACCAGAATCTCTATAGCACTATTATATCATCAAACACTTTAGTAATTCCAAACAAGTTAACCAACACTTTGGTAAACCTTTGTTTCTCACAGGTCACAGCATACGACAAAAATGCAACAGCTTTTTTTTTACATTTTAGTCGTCCGTCGACCTAACGAAGAAATGTACCGAGTCAAAGCTAAATACCAGGCGGCTATCAAGAACCTTTGTTTGGAAGCTCCTTCTTAATTATCCCATCTGTTACCCGGTTTAAGATGTAAGGCTTCAATTTCTACAAACTAAAAGCTAAACCTTTTTTTCAACACTAAAAATTAATCCTAATATATTATATAATTGGAATATTAAGAAAAGATGTAAACAATTTATTTTCGAACAGAACTTGTTCCATTTTGTTTACCAAAAAGAAAAAACTTGTTCCATTTTCTGATTTTTTTTTTTTGCATTTAAACTACTAATGCATTTTAGAACAAAAGAAGACCAAAACAAGACCTCTCCCTAGACTTTAGCTAAAAACTTTCGACAATTTATGGTTTTTCTTATTTCTACATAGTATTAATTATTTTAGTAGTAAGCAATCATAAATGGAGGGTATTATTGGCTTTCTCAAACGTAATCTCCTGCTATAAATAATCATGCCCTGCAAGAGGTTTCTATCACATAGACTTAGTTGTCATTTCTTCTTACTCCCAAATAATGGAATTCAATTGTGTTCAATTTCTTCTAAACAAGACGATTCTTGTCACCGGCGCTACCGGTTTCCTTGCCAAGGGTATGTTCTTTATTTTTTTTAAAAAAATGTTTGCTTACGATTAGGCCTAAAAATTCGGATAGTTGGATTGTTGGGATAGGATCCGATTGGATCCAAATCTTTTAGAAAATGAATTCTATACAAATAGGTAGTTAGTAGATTTCGTTCGGGTTTTAGGTCGGATACCACCGGTTTCAGGTCGGTTCCGAATACTCGTTTATTAAGTGAACCATATATATTTTTACAAAATAAAATATTTTACATATAAATTAAAATGGTCCAGTGGTTATATAGTCGCCCATTAATCTATCCAATCGGGTTCAAGTGTCAAAATATCAAATTTATAGCAAATTTAATATTGAAATGCTATATATATTTACAATATAAAAGAATAAATAAAAATCGAAGTGGTATAATGGCAACATAGTTGTTTTCTGTTTATCCGACCAAATCGAGTAGAGGTGATGAAATTTTTTTTTAATATTTTGAGTTTTAATTAAGATATCCATTTTCGTTTAAACAGATACTCGGTCGGTAAAAACAGAACCGATACCTACATATATTAGCAGTATGACCGTCGAGTAATATGGCGATAACCGAAACCAAATCAAACCAGTCGGAATGGATCTGGTTCTGGAAAACGATTACTTACAGTTAACTCACATCAATTTAGTTTAAAATATGTTAAGAGAATGTTCAAACGGCCGGTGAATTAACGTATAGCACCTAGAATGATAAATCAGATACCTATATGTATAGCACCTAGTTAGACAGCTTATACGTATATAAATTATGACAGTTTACTAATACATGTAATATTTTATATTATATATTATTATGCATAAATGATAAGTTTTATATTATTTTATTTATATTATATTATAGTAGTTATTATAATTTAGTATAGGTGGTATATATTGAAGGTTATCGTTGCAGTTTTATAGGGTTTAATGTCTAGACGACTGAATATAACGATTTTTAGAACATTGTCATAAGACTGACTAGTGTTCCCTTGTACTTCGGGAAACAATTTCAAACAAGATTGGCACATATTGTTTTCCGTCAAAATCATGATTAATTTTGATGCACTATTCTTTTTAATTAAAAACTAATTATATATATATATATGATGTCCAAAAATATATATATATATATATAAGTTTTAAACACTAAGTAGAAGTATCATACTGTCCGTATAATTAATGTGCATTTAGTTTATTTATAACTATTATCATGTAGTATCCATATGTGAAATGGGGTAGATCAGTATTATAACCTAACCCATTATAATTAATGTTTATTAGTTTTTGTCGAGAAAATTCTGAGAGTACAACCAAATGTGAAGAAGCTGTATCTTGTGGTGAGAGCATCCGACAATGAAGCGGCGATGAAACGCTTACAAGCAGAGGTTATATATTAACAAAATCAAATTCACTACATAATAATTTGAAAGGACAAATTTTCTTATATGAAAGGACTGGGTTCATATCTTGATGTTTATTAATCTGAGTTGTTGCATGATATATACATAACAGGTGTTTGACAAAGATCTTTTCAAAGTGTTGCGAGAGAATATTGGCGAAGAGAATTTGAATACAATGTTGTCGGAAAGAGTTGTCCCGGTAGCTGGTGATATCTCGACCGATAATTTTGGCGTGAAAGACTCTAATCTCAGAGAACTTATGCAAAAGGAAATCGATGTTGTTGTAAATGTCGCAGCCACAACAAACTTTGACGAAAGGTACTAGCTACAAGAGAAATATAGAAGCTATTATACTTCGAAAATCAAATTTAAACTGTGTTATTTTATTTTGTATATGAAAAAAGATATGATGTTGGACTTGGAATCAACACATTTGGAGCTCTCAATGTCCTTAACTTTGCCAAAAAATGTGTTAAAGCACAATTGCTTCTCCATGTCTCAACGGGTGAGTGTTATCTGTTTATTCATCTAGTTTTCTTTAAGAAAATTATTTCAAATGTTTATATACTGTGATATGGCTCTTCTAACTTATAGTCGTCTATTTCTATAGCTTATGTTTGTGGAGAAAAGTCGGGTCTCCTACGTGAAAAACCATTCATAATGGAAGAGATTCGAAACGAAGATGGTCATCAGTTGGACATAAACCTTGAAATGGAACTGATGAAGCAAAGATTGAAAGAACTCCATGAACAACATTGTTCAGACAAAGATATTACTCGCTCCATGAAAGAACTTGGAATGGAAAGGTGAGCGTTGCTGATGACTGAAAGTGTCCTTAATTAGGATCTAACATCAGATTTGATGAAGTAAAATTTGATAACTGCGTTGATGATGATTAGGGCAAAGCTTCATGGATGGCCAAACACATATGTTTTCACCAAATCAATGGGAGAGATGCTTCTTGGTAATCATAGAGAAAGTCTTCCTCTTGTCATCATCCGTCCAACAATGATCACCAGCACTGTTTCTGAACCATTTCCTGGTTGGATCGAAGGGCTAAGGTAATTTACAAGCAATTAAAAATATAAAATTTGTTTCCAGAGGTTTAAGTAACATGTCGTTGGTCCTAACAGATTTTTTATGTGATTGCAAATCAATATTTTTAATCAATCGGTTTAGATTTTTTTATCTTTACGTATTACAATTATTCACAATATTAAATTATATTTGAATGTAGAACTGTAGACAGCGTGATTATTGCATACGGAAAGGGAGTACTCAAGTGTTTTCTTGTCAATGTGAACTCGGTCTGCGATATGGTAAATTTTCGTGTTCCTAATTATTTATTGATCTTAATTATTATATTAGCAAAATAACATCTAGCTTAACTCCAGATTTAATTTAAATGTTATTGAAAACCATGCTGATAGATACCAGTAGATATGGTGGCAAACGCCATGATCTCTGCTGCAGCTACACATGCTGGAAATTCAGAGGTTCACATGGTGTACCATGTCGGTTCATCGCACCAGAACCCTGTGACATTTGGAGAGATTCATGAGATTTCCGTTCGTTACTTTACTAAAAGCCCTTTGCGTAGTCGCAATGGCTCTCTCATAGCCGTCTCAAAAGTGAGGCTTATATCAAATATGGCTTTGTTCAGCCTCTACATGACCCTACGTTTCAAACTACCTTTACAGGTACTAATAGCCAATTCTTTTTAAAAAAAAAAATACAATATGAAACATTTACACATTGTTTTATCATTTATGTAATTCAGATATTATTAGCTTTGACAATTTGTAACCTATCTAAATTTTTAATACGCCCGACATTACTACTTAACAGCAATATAGATTTTTTTGTCATAGTATTGAGGCATATGTAATTCTTTCTCTCTTCTTTTATTCAGTTATTGAAACTAATTGACATAATATATCCGTGGAGAAGCGGAGAAAAATACGGAGACAAGAACCGGAAAATCAATATGGTGATGAGATTGGTAGAGCTTTACGAGCCTTACGTACTCTTCAAGGGCATGTACGTACTAACCACGAATCCAATATGTTGTGACGTTCAACCCTATTTTAAAATATTCTGTTTTGTAGTTATTACCCAATTACTGTTTTTTTTTTGTTCTCAGATTCGACGATAGAAACACTGAGAGCTTATGTGTCAGTCAAAAGGAAAATGAGACCAATAATTCGATAGGATCAGTGTTTGATTTTGATCCAAAAACCATTAATTGGGGAGACTATCTCACAAGTATTCATATTCCTGGCCTCGTCACACACGTGCTTAAGAACTAAAACCACAAACACATTTTATTGAACTCTGCATGTATAACCAATAAAATAGCTTTTTTTTTTTTTTTTTTTTTTTTGACATCAAAAAGTGAGCTATTGATAGAAAAGTATTTGTTTATTTGTAACACAGAGGTAATTCTTTTAAATAAAATATATGCTCTGTGAAAAAATAAAAAGAATATATATATATATATATATATGTATATATATATATATGCACTGTGTTTTTTTGTTAATGTGCTATCTATTTTGATAAATAAGTGGATGGCCTGTAAATATATGTGACATTAATGTAATTCTTAGATTTTATTTATTTTATTTCTCTGATTTGTAAGACAAAGATCCGTTATATATATGATACATGTCACAAAAAATCATATATTCAATTCATGTTAAATATTTTGTATAAAATAAAGAATATTAATGTAGCTATATTTATTGTTCAACCAATAAAAAATCAAGATTTTATAAAAAGCCTTTTGTAAAAAAAAATCATAATTTTAAAATCACATTAAATTTAGGAAAATTTGGACTCTACATAATACAACAAGAATTAAGTTCGTACACATATCAAATCTATGTATATGATATTATATATATTATTCTGAAAAGTGACAAAAATACCCTTACATGCACATGCTTTCATTATTTTCATCGTATCTATTTCTTTTAGAAACTAATTTTTCCACACTAAAAACGATACCGATTTCTTTCATTTTGTGATCATTAGATGGAGAAAAGAAAAAGAGGAACATCGGAACGAGGCGGTGGACGAGAGGAGTCAACATTGATACATAAAAAAATTTAGGGTTATTGCAAGAGTTAAAGTTCGTGAAGCCCTTTTTTTCTCTTTCTTTTCTTCATTCACCTCGAGCGGACCATTGTCACCATAACCATAACTACTACTGATTCTTTGGTCATCATCGCAGATCTACATTGTATAGTCTAGTATTTACTATTAGGAAAATCTTTATAGTATAGTAATACATATTTAGGTAATAGGCTCTTGAAACTAGCGAACAGAAGTAGTGAGATTGCTTATGGAGAGAAGAAAAAGAGGGCAGTTTGCACGGCGAGGGACGGATACATGGGCAATAGAGTTATGACTGATCTTCATTGGATACGGCTGTGAACTAGATAATAGTAAAGCTAGGTTAGTATGATATTTGTTTCATGGTAATGTGTTTGCATAAAGTTATAATTTCATATTTTCTTATGGCATATGTGCAGCCTAGAACTTAGATTTCTTATCTAGAACACCTTACTCTTGTAGGTATGCTCCTTTCGCGGAGCGAGCTTGATACCTATGCTATGGCGTGGATCAAGGCTCGACAGCAATTAGTAAACAAAGACCTAATATGCTCATATCATACCATGATATCTACTCTCGCTGATCAGGGATGTGATGCTTGCTTGCAACGAATCTAGCAATCTAATTCACTATTAATGATAAAAGGTTTAAACTTAGGATCAAATACTAAGTAATCAGATCAGTATCAGCATTAAAAATAGTTGAAACAAAGACAAAGATGTGGCCTATCTATGTTTAGTTCAATGGATCAACATCCTAGAACCAGAGGCTAACAAATCGGCTATTCGACCATAACACATGAAAACACGCAAGTCATGACTGAATAATTCATCGAATAAATCAAAGTATAAAGATGGTTCAAGGAATTCTTCTCTAGAAATTAGGAAGAAGCTGCCGCCCTTACAAAATATCTTGTGTAAAATTTAGTCTATGTAAAAGAGTAAAGGTGGCCAGGGTTTTATCAGAGGAACGGTGCCTGCTAGGGTAGAGAGAAATGCTGCGTTTTTGTCTTTCCCAAAATAGATCAGAAATCTCATTCAAGAACTGGAGCAAGTCGGGGTTGCTCCGTATGGGTGCTCTGCGACAGAAAACTCTTGTTTTGCACTCTTTCTTTCATACATTCCTTCTGGTGCAATCCACCTCGTTCTCCACCTGAAATAACTAAAAATAGTCTAAGAATACTCCAGGAAAGCACAAATATGATATGAAAAGCATGTGTGTAATATGTCAAAAATACAACATATCAATTCCCCCAGACTTGGATCCTTTTTTGTCCTCAAATAATGTCAAGTTCCAGATTAGTGGGAAAGGTTTGAAAGTGTGGGAACTCTCTCATTTTAGAAACCATACTTTTACCATGAATCTCTAAACCATACAAGCAAACATACAGGACGACACACCCTTACCAGAACACCACTGATTGCTGTTAAAATCGGCTCCATACTCTATATCTCAAACCTGCAAAAGTCAAAACTTCCAGACAAAAGCCTTTTACATTCATTTAAGATCAGCGTGAGCTTCTTGTCATAGGCATTATTCCGGGTAGACGGACTTGGTGTGAAACAGGCTTTTTCAGTGTTTCAAGTGGAGCTAACAATTATTTAGGTTTTACCATGGCTTTGCAGAGGATGCAAGGCATCGCACAAAATTGTTAGAGAGGATGGATCCATTGATCTCCACAAGCCCTCCCTCGTTTTCTCTGCAGAGCAATCGCTCCTACATGTTGCTCTCATTTCCCCAGATCACCCTTGTCCACACTGTTTCATTTCCACTTCAGCCTTTTGCTTCTCTAATCGACTAAAGGCACTGTTTTAGTTTCTCTCCTTCTCATCATTTTTGAGAACTCATGGCACATAAATAATACTGAATTGATTTTTTTTGTTTTTGTTTTTGACTGAATAATGAAATGACAAGTTCAGATGATGATGTCGACGAAATAGAGGTAATTACATATAGTGTGCCCTTGGCGGTTCTGACTTTAGCACTTCTTTCATCATTTGGTATTTTCTGCTTGAATCATCCTACTAACTGCTGTCTTCTTGTCAGATCATGTACGTCTTTGCTCTGAAGCGTAGTCTGTGAGAAAAATGAGTGAGAGTTCGATTGATCCTTTCCTCTCTGACCTTTTTGCACATATCTGCACATATGAAACTTAAGAACATAATGCATGAGGGTGAAACAAGGGCTCTAAGGTACATGGGGGAAACTAGCTAAAGATGAGCTAGCCACTCAGGATCAACAAGATGGATAGAAAGAATTAAGATGTTCTCTACAGGCAGAAATCTTCTGGAGAGCCAGGTGAGATAAAGTCAGGGTGCTCCAGGTCCAAGTGTGCGTCTTTCGTCACTGCTAAGGTCACTGAATAAGATAACTTAAAGCACAAGGTGGTTAGATAGCATCAAAGGATAAGGTCCTGATTTCCACAGAAGTTCGACTGACTCGATCCTAAGACTGACTTAATAAATGAAAACAGACACATGACATACTCTTGAAACAAACCAGAAGCAAATAGAGTGCACAACACACAAGTGCCTCCCCAAGACTTACTTCACACCGTCTCTGGTGTGAAAATAGACCTAGAGTCAACCAAAATCATACAAAGTAGCACATTTTCACTATTTCAACTTCTTTTTCAATCCTAACAGCTAAGGAGTGATTTATTCGGGTCCAACAAGCTAGAATCGATCTATCAAAAGCAAAAGAAGTATATAATCAACGGTTTTCAAACCGCTAGCATAGTGAACGAGAGTAGTATGAGCGATTGGGGGTGATACCTTGGTCGATCTGTGAAAATAACTTATAATGTGTTAGATCGCAAGAAGTTATCCAATTTAGAGCCAAAAAATTGCTTAAAATCGTAGAGAATCAA